TCTTCTCTACATCTTAAATGGCTGTTTGTAACAGAACATGCAGTGTTCAGAAATGGTGAATCAACTTTTTAAATAAGAGTCTTATTAAGCAGCCTCAGATTAATGAAAACACATCTTTTCCAAGACCTGATCTTCACCTTTAACCAAATCCGACAGATTTAACCAATAGGCACAAGTAAACCAGTAAAACCCTTCATTTCTGCAAACATGCTGTTCACATAAACACAAGCCCAAAAAATAGAAAACTAACCTTAGCAAACATTTATTATATTACAATATTGTCACATCCATAGTTAGTTTCAAACACTGTTTGAAAGCCAAACCCTTTTAGAATTCACAAAGCAAAGCTTTTCAAATTCCATTTAGTCTATGTCATAGGTCAGCAATGGAGAACCTTTTTTGGCTTGCGTGCCATAAGCAAGGGGAGCGCAGGGGTGGTGGTGTGTGGGCATGTCACACCCATAATGCAATGTGACACCCCCCCAGCACGCATGCGCGCGTGACAGGCGCTCCCCCCATTTTTTGCATTTTTTTCACCCTCCCCAGGCTCCAGAGGCTTTATAGGAGCCTGGAGAGGGCGAAAACAGCCTCCTCCGCCCTCCCGGAGGCCCTCCCGGGGCTTCACGAGCTTTCCTGAAGTCTCCGGAGAGCAAAAAAATGGTCCTATGGGCAAACCGGAAGTTCAGGAACAGACTTCCGGTTTGCTCGTAGGGGCGGTTTAAGTGACTTTCGGTTTGTCCGTTGAGTCATTTTTCGTCCTCCAGAGTCTTTAGGGAAGCCTCTGCAAGGCCCCTGAAGGCTTCGGAGGGCTTAAACTGGCCCTACGAGCAAACTGGAAGTCCGAAGGGGCGTTTTTTTTGTGCTCCGGATGGCCTCCGGGGGGGGGGGAGCTGTTTCCTTTGGAGCCTGGGGAGGATGAAAAATGGCTTTAAAAAAGGCTGAACTTAGCTGGCAAGCGCACATATGCGTGCTGGCCAGCTGATAGGGAAACACTTCACGTGCCTTGACAAATGGCTCCACATCCTTCCTGTGGCACGTGTGCCATAGGTTCGCCACCCGCGTCTAGGTCAACTGTGAAAATATCTGAGATAGATATCTACTGTAAAGTAAATAAGGTGATTTAAAATATGTTAAACTTGTTAGTGTAAGTAGATTACTGTATCTCATTGAATTGCTTATTATTATATATTCCCAAAGCATAAAGCTAGACTGTGAAATAGGATTAAAACTACCAAAGAGAGATGCCTGCTTTTGTCAAAGATGTCAGTTAACATAAAAAAACTAGCTTATTAGCTAATGTTTGTACGTGCATATGGTGTCTATGAAATCAAACTGCAATGTCATTAAAGGATTTTCCATTTTATCAGAGCAGCTTTAAGAGTTAAGAATAAAAAAGCCAAATGCAATCTTTTTTTTAAAAAATACTTGACTTTCAATTCTAAATGACCAATCCATTGGTGCCTAAAAATTCTGGTCATGATTTGGCTCTTTGATTCTGTTCTTCCTAGATCTATTTGAAGACTCGCAGTGTTGCCAATACCACTTGGTATTAATCTGACAGAGCACAGCACACAGTGATCTAATTACTGTTTCAATGGTAAACTATCCTGTTTCTAATGTCCTTTTATCACAAATCTGATCTATATTCAACTATAAAAATATAACATATTCCAACACAATACATACCAACACAACATCATTAAAAGTGTGCATACATCTAGTCACAAAACAAAACAATTACTTGAACATACTCAACAGCTAACTAGCAACCAATACTGGTTCTTCTTTAGCCACTCCATTTTCCAGTGTTTTTAGATTCTGGGATTACACAGTCCAGTCTTGAATTACCAATGCATGGTTTCCAATCCAGGACTAAGCCAGCGAGTGAATATGTATTCTTTTGCTCATATTTTTTTAAAAATATGTGTTTATATTCTGGGGCCAGAAAAAGGTCTGGGGGGAATAGTATATTGCCTTATTAAATTTGGAAAACACAGATAAGAGAAATATGTTTGATACAAATTTACTATTTGCCATCTATTTTATAAGTTGCTAAACAATAATTTAAAATTTAAAAATAATTTAAAACAAACAAAATCCTTATGTTAAGGTGAAAGTTATCATTACAAAATGTATAAAGTAATGTAATAACGGTATTACCATTTATCAGACCCATCTCAGTCTTTAGGAAGCTAACTATATTAGAACAATTTGTAAGCATATTCTTACCTCTTCGATCACGAGCTGCTAAATTAGTACCTCGTCTTAATGTAATATCCAACTGGTACATTCCTGGTTCAGCAGGTGGTAATTCTACATTACTTGTCCCAAATCTCTAAAAAGCATAAAGAAAATATTAAAATATCCTTACAACAGTTTTAGTATATTCTCAATTATTTTGTTTGAAAACTAGAATTCCTTATTCTCATAACTACATAATATCATAATAATATCATTGACCAACAGTAATAGATTTTAACAATTATCTTCCTATTTATAAATATTACGAATTTTCAGTACATACATAAAATTGAGATAAAAATGATGGAAGCAAATTATTATCTTCCCATAAAAGATCAATTGTATTTTATAGGTAACAGTTTGATCTACAATTTACTTTTCCTGTTTTGATAAAACAATGATCAACAGAATAGAAATAAAAAACTTAAACAGATAAAACAAAAAGTCTAGGAACCATCCATTTATATAGTTTAATAAGCAATGTTAACAGAAGTTCGTCATTAATACATTTTTTTGCATGCACTTTTACAACCATCATGTCTTTATCAAATTTCTTGATACTAGAAAGATCTCAATAATTTTGCAAAATGCAGTTGTCTAAATAAAGTTACTGCCTATTTGGATTTCGATTTTTCTACTTGGCCTACACAACTACCATTGGGGTTAGGGTGGGGTTTTTTGTGTGTACTGTTGTAAATATCAGCATCCTTTTATAAGATTTTTATTTTGAACATTTTCAATAATTATAGTAATGTATCATTAATGAGTAGCTTAAATAATTTTCTTAAATTAATATGAGAGGCAAAAAAGGCACAATTTTATATTACAGAAAACCTATACCTTCATTCCATTAACTGAGAAACAAAATCTTTAAATTTTTCAATAAGAAATTCAATAGTTGTCTCACAGACCACAATATATCTTCTTTCAGGATCCTAATAAGGTATGTATCAGTGGTATCAAAAAAAAATTACTACTGGTTCTGTGGGTGTGGCTTGGTGGGTGTGGCGTGGCTTGGTGGGCATGCCTTGGTGGGCGTGGCACGGGAAGGATACTGTAAAATCTACATTCCCACCCCACTCCAAGGGAAGGATACTGTAAAATCCCCATTTCCTCCGATCAGCTGGGACTCAGGAGGCAGAGAATAGATGGGGTCGGGGCCAGTCAGAGGTGGTATTTACCAGTTCTCTGACCTACTCAAAATTTCTGCTACCGGTTCTCCAGAACTGGTCGGAACCTACTGAATACCACCTCTTGTATGTAATCACATTACAGGTAAACCTCAACTTCTGAGCACAATTTAACAGAATAACAGAGTTGAAAGGGACCTTGGTGGTCTAGTCCAACCCCTGCTCTAGCAAGAAATCCTATACTATTTCAGATAAATAGCTGCCCAATATCTTCTTAAACATCTCCAGTATTGGAGCACCCACAACTTCTGGGGGAAAGTCAATCCACTTATCATTCGAACTGTCAAGAAATTTATTCTTAGTGCTAGGTTGGTTTTATCCTTGATTAGTTTTCCATCCATTGCTTCTTGTCCTGCCTGCAGGTGCTTCACTGGCATCATACAGTTGTTTTATTCAAGACAATTATATTTTTATAATAAAAACAGACCATCAATAATACACTTCTAATTCAGAGTTGGACATTTATTTTGTGCAGTATTAATTTGATATCAATAAAATTTAAGTAGCAATTAGATTTTAAATTAATTTTCTGATATTTTAAAAAACTTTCATTATTTCAGTTCAGAAGTACACTACAGCATTTGTTTGTAGCATTTTTGAAAATCTATTGATAAAATTACCTGTATACTGACAACTCTATAAATCAAGTAAGTTTCTAGAGTCAGCAATGCATGCCTTATTACTATAAGCAAAGTATTAGATACTTCTTCTATTAAAGAGTCATATACTAAGTCTGAGAATTCATTTCTGAAATCTACATCTATAACACGAGTATTCTCATGTTAGCACTCAAATAATACAATACTCTGAAGTGATTAAGAAGTTAAGCAAGTAAAATATAACACTATAACTTAAAGAGAGATACAGACAATCCAAGGAGTTTTAGGAAGTTTTAAAAATCCAGTAGATTAAAAACATCTTCACTGACTTCAAAATGTAGGCCAGTGTAGGCCAGATTACTTATAATGTAGATTACCGTATTTTCACCCATATAACCCGCGGGTTATATG